AGCCGGGCGGTGGTGGCGCACGCCTTTAGTCCCAGCACTCGGGAGGCAGAGGCAGGCGGATCTCTGTGAGTTTGAGGCCAGCCTGGTCTACAAAGCAAGTTCCAGGATAGCCTCCAAAACAATACAAAGAAACCCTGTCTCGAAAAACCAAAAAAAAAAAGTTTTTCTACTGAGACAATTGTTTTCCCACAAAAGAATGATAGCATCTGCTTCTTCACAAAGTCCACTAGAGACAATTAATGAGTCTTTTACATTATATGACTACTTATCTATTTCTGGGCTGGAGAAATGGCTCAGAGGTTAAGAGCACTGGCTTCTCTTCCAGAGGTCCTGAGTTCAATTCCCAGCAACCACATGGTGGCTCACAGCTATCTGTAATGAAATTTGGTGCCCTGTCCTGGCGGAGCACTATCATATCTTAAAGCCAAGATAGCCAAATAGTATGGAATAAAAGGATGTTAATGCATAGAGCTTAAAATTGTGTGGCCACATGGGCATAGCTGTATTCCTTGGGTCTCAATTCTATTAGAAACTATTTTCAACTCATTCATGTCATTAGACATAGTATTTTATTAGTATATATTAACTTTGCAAAATAGAAGTTTCATGATGATAATTGAGGATATTTTTGTAACTTTTTTTTGCTTTTTGAGACAGGGTTTCTCTATAACCCTGGCTGTCCTGGAACTTGCTCTGTAGAATAGACTGGCCACAAACTCACAGAGATCCACCTGCCTCTGCGGAGGCAGAGGTGTGTGCCATCACTAGCAGGTTTATTAGAACTATTTCTACGTCTGGAAAATTAACTAGAAGAAAGGAAAGGTAGATGAGGTATCATTCTCCTGTTGTCTTCTCAGAGATCCCATTTCATGCTGAAGGTCGGCACCCCTGTTCTTTAATGGGTAAGAATTTCCGCTCCTATTTGCTAGATCTACGAAACACTAGCACTCCTTTCAAGGGCGTACGGAAAGCCCTTATTGATACCCTCCTGGATGGATATGAGACAGCTCGCTATGGGACAGGGGTAAGTTGGACAGTCAGTTTTTCCTTCAAAGAACTAAAGGGATGGAACGCTCCAGACAAAGACTGATTTTTCCTTTCTCTTTCCTAAGGTCTTTGGCCAGAGTGAGTACTTGCGTTATCAGGAGGCCTTGAGTGAGCTGGCCACTGTGTGAGTATGGTGGGGGCATGTCAACGAGGGCTAGTTAGACATAGAAGTACAGTGAGAAGGATCACAAGGTCTAGGCCAGCCCACGATACATAGCAAGACCCTGTCTCTAAACAAAGTAAATATAAAATAATATACAAGTGGCCAGGCAGTGGTGGGAGGCAGAGGCAAGTGAATCTCTGAGTTCAAGACCAGCCTGGTCTATAAGAGCGAGTACCAGGATGGACTCCCAAGCCACAGAGAAACCCTGTCTCGAGAAACCACACGCGCATGTGCATGCACGTACACACACACACACACACACACACACACACACACTCGAATATAAAAGTGCTAAACTGTTCTCAGAGAACTTACCAAATTAACAAGCAGATATTTTGTACTACAGGCTAGTAAGAGAAGCTTCTGTTTTGTATGCATATTTTGGTTATTTTTGTTTTGTTTTTTGTCTAGCCCTCTAAAATGTCAAAATGGTCTGAACATGGTGATGCAGGCCTGTAATATCAGCACTTAGTAGGGAGAGGAAGGCAAATCTCTAAGTTGGAGAGCAACCTGGTCTACATAGCTGATTACTCGACACCCAGGACTACATAGAGAAACTGTCTGAAAAAAACAAAACAAAAGGTCTGGAGAGGTGGCTTAGAGGTTAAGAGTACTAGCTGGTCCTGCAGATGACCAGGATTCAATGCCCACCATCCATATGGTATTTCACAACCATTTGTAATTCCTGTTACAGTGGAATCTGATGCCCTCTTCTGGCTTACACAGGAACCTGGCATGTATGTAATGCACAGACATACATGCAGCTAAGACATCCATACACAGTAGATGAATAAATCTTTGTCTTTTTTTTTTAATGCCAAAAATGGTATAGCTAACAAAGGAATGAAATTTTTCAGCACATAAGGATTCCCTCTGTTCTAGGATCCTCTTTTTATGCCTTGGTCCAGTAAAAGAAAGAATTAAATTCCGCCGAATTTTTATTTAATCTGCCTTCCCCCCCCCCCCCCTTTTGAGACAGGGTTTCTCTGTGTAACAGCTCTGGCTGTCCTGGAACTCACTCTGTAGACCAGGCTGTTCTCACACTCACAGTGATCTGCCTACCTCTGCCTCCCAAGTACTGGGATTAAAGGTGTGCGCCACCACCCAGCAAGGCCATGATTTCTGATACCCCAAAAACAGTTCCACCAGCTGGAGACCCAAGTATTTAAATATGGGAGCCTATGGGGGCCATTCTCATTCAAACCAAAATAACATACAAAGCTAGAAAAGAGTATTTGGTTCGTAGGTTAGGCAAGAGGTCTGGACAGATGACTCAGTGTTTATAAGAGTGCTTGCTGCTCTTCTAGAGGCCCAGAATTTAGTTCTCAGCATCCGTGTCAGACAGTTCATAACTGCTGCAACTTAAGCTCCAGAGGATCCAACACTACTTCTGGCCTCCAAGGGCACACACAGGTAGCCTACATTCACACAGACACACATAAAGCAAAAATAAAAACAAACCTTTCTGAGCTAGAGAGATGCTTAGCAGTGAAGAGTACTTCTTGTGGAGTACCTGAGTTGACTACCGCTCACATTGGGTGGCTCATAGTGGCCAATCCAGGTGATATGACACTAACTTCTGACACCTTTGGTCTCCTGCACATGTGTGGTGCACATAAACTTGTAGGTGCATACACACAAATAAAAAATCTTGAAAGAAGTTAGGCAGGAAACCTGTTAAAATTAACTTGAGGCCAGCACGCCTTTAATCCCAACACTCTTGAGGCAGAGGCAGGAGGATCTCTGCATTCAACGTCAGCCTGGTCTACAGAGCGAGTTCCAGGACAGCCAGGACTACACAGAGAAACCCTACCTCAAAAAAAAACCAAAAAGGGAAAAAAATCACTCAAAAGATACATGCTGATTTCCCTTATATGATCTAAGTAGTCAGAATCAGATGGGATAGAGAATAGTAGTTGCTAAGACCTGGGAAGGTAAGAAAGCATTATTTAATCAACATAAACATTTGTTTTATAAAATGGAAAGCATTTTGAAGACTGGCTGTACAACCTTGTGATTAAAACAGTATTGAAGCACGTACTTTAAAATAGTCAAGATGCATTTCCAGCCAGGCATAGTGGCACACACCTTTAGTCCCAGTACTTGGGAGGTAGAGGCAGGTGCATCTCTGTTTGAGGCCAGTCTGGCATACAGAGTGAGTTCCAGGACAGCAAGGACTACATACATAAAGAAACCCTGTCCAGGAAGCATTTCCTATGTATTTCATTAGATATTTTCTTGCTAGAGCCAAGTGTGACAGCCCACTTCCTGTAAGGCCAACCTAGTCTGCATAGTAAGACCCTTTCTTTCCCTTCTCCCTCCCCACACCTGGAAAAAAGAAAGGATTGTGATGGAAATAAGGACTTAATAAAGTTTTTTTTCCTGTCATGCCTAAATTCTCAAATGGTTTTAGTATTGAGTTGTTTGGGTTTTTTGTTTGTTTGGTGGGAGTCCCATTTTGTGTGTGTGTGTGCGCGTGCGCGCGCACAAGCACAAGTACTTTTACACTTATGAGTATGTAACTGACAGGCAAACTTGTTATATAGACCAGACTGGCCTTGAATTTGTGATCTTTCTGCCTCCTGAAATTACAGGTGTGTGCCACCATACCTTGCTTAGTAACTAGTGAAATACGTAAGAGACCATTTTAGTTTCACTTATAGAATGGATTTTAAGATTTATTTTTTAGTTTTAGTTACGTGTAAACATATGCAGAGGTTCTAGCCTAGAGCTAGTTACAGTCACTTGACATGGTTGCCAGGAATGAACTCCAGTCCTCTGGAGGAGTAGTGTATGCTCTTAACCACTGAGCCATCTCTCCAGCCCCTTTGTGCTAGTTCTAATTCTATTCATATCTTCTGTGTATTCTTCAGAGTCAAAGCACGAATTGGGAGCTCTCAGAGACAGCACCAATCAGCAGCCAAGGACCTAACTCAGTCACCTGAAATGTCGTCAACAACCATCCAGGTCACATACCTCCCCTCCAGTCAGAAGAGCAAACGTCCTAAGCACTTCCTCGAGCTGAAGAGCTTTAAGGACAACTATAACACATTGGAGAGTACTCTGTGATGGAGCTGCAGATGCTACCTGTGCAGCCTTTGAGCTATGTGACTCTGCGGGCCAGACTTTACCAGCCAAAGCTTCTGTTGATACCAGAGTTGCTTCAGAGCTGTGTCTGAAAGGTCATTCCCCAGCCCTTTCTTAGAGGCATTTGCAAACACTGGCTAAGACATCATTATCTCCCAGTAGCAATGTCATTAATGTTTGTGTCAAAGCCTCCTTGAAGATCTTCACTTTTTGCTGTAATTCACTTACCCTGTGCAGTACTATTTAGTCCCAAAGTACAAATTGAGATGTCCTCTTTGTCTACCCTGTTGCACTCAGTTGAATAGAAATATTTGGGTTTAGAGATCTCAGATTTGATTGATGGAAAAGCCAGGCATGTCCTCATGAGGAGGGAGGAAGTGGGTAGAATGTCTTCTGGAATGTTGGTGCTCCATTTAAACCAGGTGTATTAAGACATGAACATGACTTTCTTGAAGTGGAAGGATCTGTCCTGCCTTCACCCAATACTGTTATGACAATTACAAGGGAATGTTCTGGCACTTGGCATAACCTATGCTGAGATGGAGAGACAACATGAAGTAGTTTTCTCTAATGTCAACATATTAGTCTCGGTTTACAAATTATTTAATAAAATTACTAAAAAATTTTTTTTGTTTTCTTTTAGAGACAGAGTTTCTCTGTGTAGCACTGACTACTGTCCTGGAACTCACTCTGTAGACCAGGCTGGCCACAAACTCACAGAGATCCACTTGCCTGTGCCTCCAATCCTGGGATTAAAGGATGGTGGCACCACCTCTAACCATGAATCATTTCTTTAGAATGGGCTTTAGAACAACAGACACTTGATGTGCGTCTGTGTTTCCCTTACAGGACACAGGGTGTGAAGCTTTGCTGCCAAAAACTGGTTGGACTGTGTATGTGGATCTAGACTTTGCAGGTCGTCTGAAATCCTGAAATAGGGTCTGTGCGGCTCATCCTCATAGCCTGACCTTGTCACTAATAGAAAACTAGAGAACCAGGATTCCCTTTAGGTCACCATGGCAACAGGCCAAGTAGCCAGTCAACTCCCAGGACCAGGGTCATTGTTGGACGCCTAAACGTTGCTATGACTACTGAAACCTTGGTGACCAAACTAAACAGAAAGAAAAGCCTTCTCAGTGGCCTCAGAAACATCAAACATGTCTGTAGATACGTCTGCGGAAAAAATGACAAAATTAGAAGAGGTATGCAGAGTTGGAAGGAGGGTTGGAAGTTGGAGGAGTTTCCCCTGATGTGGTTTCCAGATGGGTTTACAGCATTCCTGAGAAAGGTTCGGTGGAGTGCAGGGGAGTTAGCAAAAACAAGAAACTATTTTTGGAACAGGAACTGTTCACTAATGTCCCACTCTGACCCCTATCTTGTATCTTCTGTCTGTTATGAGAAATGTACAGCTTTCCCACTTCCCCCTAGGAAGCTATGTCATTCATCAAAAGTAGGTACTGTGCTCAGATTCTAGTAATGAAGGCAGATGAACAGAACCCACTTCTATTACAGAATTTGCAAAGAGACGTGGCACTTAAGAAGATGGTCAACAGGTAATCTGTGTTTCCATCTCCTCCCATCGGTTTGTCTTTTCAACTCTCCTCTCCCTGAGCCACCACCCAAGTCATCTCTCCTTGGGGGACCCCTCAAGAAAGAAAGCATGGAGCAGACGGGCAGCCTTGTTCTCAGAGTAACCGGAGATGAGCTTGTTAATGACTAATGCATGACCCCGTTCCTTTCTGTTCCTGCTTCCCAATCTTTGGGAAAGGCACAGTGTTTATTCTGCCTTTCTTTTTTCTTTCTATTTTTTTAAACATACTCATATGTTACTTTCCTAGCTTTGTACTAATTAAGTAGCAGGTATTTCAATAGTTGTTGAACAACTGACACATACTCAGAAGACTGAACTGCATATTTCACCTGCTAAGACTCTGACTCTGGTGTACTGGGGTATTGAATCCAGGGCTTTGTGCATGGAGGTGCTCTACCACCAGCTATACCTCCAACCCCGAGCTTTTTTTAAAAATGCTGGCGGAAGCAGGGCATGGGGACTCATACCTATAATCCCAGTACTTGGATGAGCCTAGGTTACAATGTGATTGATACACTCTCAAAAAGCCCCAAAGGGAGGCCCAATATGGTGGGTGGTATATGCTTTTAATCTCAACACTAGAGAGAGCAGAGATAGGTAGGTCTCTTGAGTTTGAGCCCAAACTAGTCTCCATAATTCCAGGGAACCAGGGTTATATAGTGAGATTCTTTAAGAGGTAGGTGGGGGTGGCACAGGAAGCTCACTGGTAGACTGCCTAGCATGCACAGAGCCTTGCGCTTATTTCCCTGCATTCAGGAGATACAGATAGGAGCATCAGAAGTTCAGGGTTAGCTACATAGTGAGTTGGAGACCAACCTGGGCCACTTGAAACTGTCTTTTTTTAAAAAAGGTAAATGGCGCCGGGCAGTGGTGGCGCACGCCTTTAATCCCAGCACTTGGGAGGCAGAGGCAGGCGGATCTCTGTGAGTTGGAGGCTGGGCTGGACCGACAGCCTCCAAAACAATACAGAGAAACCCTGTCTCGTAAAACCAAAAAAAAAAAAAAAAAAGGTAAATGGGCATTGGTGGCGACCACCTTTAATCCCAGCACTGGGGAGGCAGAGGCAGGCAGATCTCTGAGTTCGAAGCCAGCCAGAACTATACAGAGAAACCCTGTCTTGAAAAACATAAGGTAAAGGTTAGGAACTGAGACCCAGTTTCTTTTTGTTGTTGTTTTGTTTTCTTTTTTTTTTCTTTTTCTTTCTTTCTTTTTTTTTTTTTTTTTTTTTTTTTGGGTTTTTCGAGACAGGGTTTCTCTGTGTAGTTTTGGAGGCTGTCCTGGCACTCGCTCTGTAGACCAGGCTGGCCTTGAACTCAAAGAGATCCACCTGCCTCTGCCTCCCGAGTGCTGGGATTAAAGGCGTGCGCCACCAACGCCTGGCCCAAGACCCAATTCTTAATGACCTAGGTGACACAACTTTCATTTTCCATTTGTGTGCACTGTAATAGCTGACAGCTCTACCTCTTGTTCATGGTATGATTCAGTAACAGCACTTAACACACTAGATTCTAAGTCAGTTCTAACTACCCTTTCAAGAGCTTTGCAATCTTCTGACAGTGGTAGAGGTTCTGATCACAAAGCAACCACATTAGTAAGAACTTGTCTCTACCCCTAACTCTCACCTATTTAATCCCCACCCCTAAACCTGGGACAGGTGGTCGAAGTCACATACTCACTGCATGTGGCAGATGACATTGGACCAACGGAGAAACCTGTATGCTACCCTAAGGATGCAGGATACTATGGAGCGGGAATTGGCACTGTCGAACAAACAGCTGCTCATGGTGAGTTCTAGGAGGACAGCCTGGAGTCTTACCTCTTTCCTGATCTACACCCCTGCCAGCTGGAATAGCGAACTCTTCTGTCATGACTTAACGGTATAGTTTGCCTCCAAGACTTTTCATGATTTTTCATGATTTTTATCAAAACATTAACATCAAATGCCAAAGCTCTGTCAGTAAGTGATTTTTTTAAATTTGTGCATTGTTTGCAGATGGCACTCCTTGTTTAGTTTTGGGTTTAATGAAGTTTGGTTTTTTGGGAACTTTGGGTTGAGTTGGGTTTTGTTTGAAACAGTCTCAGTGTGTTCCCCGAGCGGACCAGGAACTTGCTATGTAGACCAGGCTGGCCTTCATGAACTAAGAAGTTATTTATGTACTTTATGTATTTATTTTTGAAACAAGGTATTGCTCTGCATCCCAGGATGGCCTGAAACTTGCTGACATCCTGTCTCAACTTCCCATATGCTGAAATTATAAGCATGTCCCATCTCACCCAGCTGTAGGTGACCAGTTTCTGTCCTAATGCTTACTTTGCTCTTTTCATTCAGCTTCCCTTCTCCACCTGGGGTGCCTTTTAGTATCGAGTAACTGGCAGGTTTCCTAGTTTATGGTGCATTCTCATCAAAATATTTATTGACCAATGAGTCTTCACCCAAGGGTGGGGAAATCAGATAGGCTTCCCTCCCCTGATTTACTCTTTTCTACTACCTCTTTTTATGATCCTGCTAAGCCCGGGTCCAAGGGAATACAGGGATGGGGAAGGCAACCAGAGACTGAGATGAGCATTAAAGAGCCAACTGCCTCCCTACCAGGTCCGGCAAGCTGCCTTACACCAGCTGTTTGAAAAGGAACATCAGCAGTACCAGCAGGAGCTCAATCAGATGGGCAAAGCTTTCTATGAGGAGAGACTGTGACACCACCTACCACTGCTCTTCCATCATGCTACCAACCCAGCCTCTAGTCTCTTCCGTGAGCTTCCCAAAGCACCTGGACTAGGACTTAATACTCCCCCTCTTTCTCTTTGTTATATCAACGCAATGTTACCTCTGAAAACAAGAGTGACGCCTTGTGGTCAGCAAGGGATATGCAATATTGTAAGGGGAGAGAATGCACAATGTCTTTTTTTTTTTTAATCTGATTTGGTTTAACAAATAAAGTATACTCTTAAAAGTTTAGAGTTAGCCGGGCATTGGTGGTGCACGCCTTTAATCCCAGCACTCGGGAGGCAGGCAGATCTCTGTGAGTTCGAGACCAGCCTGGACTACCAAGCGAGTTCCAGGACAGCCTCCAAAGCCACAGAGAAACCCTGTCTTGAAAAACCAAAAAAAAAAAGTTTAGATTTAACCGGGCAGTGGTGTCACATGCCTTTAATCCCAGCATGCAACAGAGGCAGGCAGATCTCTGTGAGTTCGAGACCAGCCTGGTCTACAAGAGCTAGTTCCAGGACAGCCTCCAAAGCCACAGAGAAACCCTGTCTCGGAAAAAAAAAGCTTAGATTTAGACCATGGAGTTTATTATCAGCCCTGAGTCTTGGTTTGTTCATGGCTGCCATAATTTTACTTCCTAGATTCTGACCACTGCTTTTGTCCTGGCTGGTTTTGTGTGTCAACCTGACACAAGCTAGAGTCATCAGACAGGAAGGAGCCTCAGCTGAGAAAATGCCTCCATGAGATCCAGCTATAAGGCATTTTCTCATTTAGTGATCAATGGGTGAGGGTCCAGCCATGGTGGGTGGTGCCTTGCCTGGGCTAGTGGTCCTAGGTTCTATAAGAAAGACTGAGAAAGCCATATGGAGCAAGCCAGTAAGCAGCACCCCTGCATGGTCTCTGCATCAGCTCCTGCCTCCAACTTCCTGCCCTGTTTGAGTTCCTGTGCTGACTTCATTTGTTGAACAGCAATGTGAAAATGAAAGCTGAATAAACCCTTTCCTCGCCAACTTACTTTTTGATCATGGTGTTTCGTCCCAGCAACAGAAATGCTAAGACAGCCTCAGACCTTGGTTTCACTGATATTTTCTGAATTCATGGACAAATAGCTTTTAACATGGCTATTAATTTATAGGCACTGTGGTGCTTGAATATGAGGGGGCTGAATTTTATGCTTGAAAGTCATCTCATTGTGAAAACATGAATTAGTCTCTTCTAGGCTTGAATTCCTACTCACACTCTATAAAACTGAAAGGGTTCCATACTTAATTCCTTCAGGCATTGAGTGTGCAGTATAGCAGGCATTAAGTATCAAGTGGTGGGCTGGACGGGCTGGAAAAAGTATGTCCATTCTCAAGGTCTTTGACACTGAAAATCCTGGAAAGTAATAACCTGTAGGCCCCGGGAAACAAATGACAGAGATCCCCATTTCACAGTAGCTGCTGTGAGAATATGTCCTCTGATGTAATTTCTAATACTCTCACCAGTATTGTCACTGGTCACTCATCTGTGCCATAGGATCTTTCCTACCCTCAGCTTCGTGTGGCTGTGTCTCCACTGCAAAACTCATTCCCTCCCCCTCCAGCCTGTCTCTATCCTTAGTCGATCCTCAAAGCCTGCATTTTCATTTAGCTGTCGGAAGCTACTTTCCGCCCCTCCACTTTCTCCACCCAGGAAGACCATGGAGAGGCAGCAGATACAAAGAGATCAGTACAGTCTTCAGGTGTAGGGTCAGGTATAGGGTCACAATATCGGACCCTCTTCTGGAGAGGACAGACCCAGCTAGGACTGTCTTCAGGTTTCATCAGGTAAGTAGGCAGCAAGCACAAGCCCAGTGATTGGCCGAAAACAGCCTCCCATTTCCCTGGAATCCAGACCCTGGCTTGGTGGTCCTGTGGTTAACCACACCCAGCTCCATGCCATTGTTTCCCACACTTTTCCCTCTGCCCCCATCACCGCTGCTCCCTAACCCCTCGTCACTAGTAACCAGCCATGAATACCTACATCAAACGAAACGGAGCTCCCAGGCTGGTTAGGAATGCAGGCTCTGAACAGTAATTACAGATGGAGTGTGAGTTTTGTAGGAGATGAAGCCACAAACACCTCACCTGGATTTGACAACACATAAGACTGAATTTCCATTCCTTCTGTCTGTTCCTGGCCTGTGTGAGTCTGATGTAAGCCATCCTCACCTCTCTCACGTCCTTCTTTCTTACCTGTCTCCCAGGCGGCCTGCTTATTCACAGGTAGTATGGCCTTGACTTAAGAGAATAATGGACAGATCTGGTTTTCAGTCTCTCCCCTGCCCCTTTTGGGGTGGCCCGATGCACATTTTAACATTGGGGGCTGGGGTGGGGCAGTTTCCTGGAGAGATGGCTCAGTGGTTAAAAACACTGGCTACTCTTGCAGAGACCCCAGATTGGAGTCCTGGCATCCATGTGGCATCTCACGATTGTTTATAACTCCAGTTCCAGAAGATCCAGTGCCCTCTCCTGGCCTCTGCAGTTACCAGGCATTCATGTGGTAGACAGAACACCCATGTCCATGAAATGTTTTTTTAAAAATTTAAGTCTCACTGGGCGTTGGTGGCACACGCCTTTAATCCCAGCACTCGGAAGGCAGAGGCAGGTGGATCTCTGTGAGTTCGAGGCCAGCCTGGTCTACAAAGTGAGTTCCAGGACAGCCTCCAAAGCTACAGAGAAACCCTGTCTCGAAAAACAAAACAAAAAAAAAACAAAAAAAACAAAAAAAAAAAATTTAAGTCTCGGGCTGGAGAGATGGCTCAGAGGTTAAGAGTACTGACTGCTCTTCCAAAGGTCCTCAGTTCAATTCCCAGCAACCACATGGTGGCTCACAACCATCTGTAATGAGACCTGGTGTCTTCTTCTGGCCAGCAGGCATTCATGTAGGCAGAACACTGTATACATAATAAATAAACAAATAAATAAATCTTTAAAAAATGTTTTTTAAAAAAAATTTAAGTCTCAATTTTGGTTGCTGATTTATAAAATGGAAACAATCTCTACCTTATTGGGTTGCTGTGGGAACAAATCACACTTAATATATAATAAACAAAGCCATAACACTATATTACTACTCAATGATACTTTCCTTATTTCCACTCCTACTACTCTCTATAACCTTTTTTTGTTTCTCTGTTCATTAGGACTCGATGGATGCTCCACGTCCTCTGCCTGGGTCTCTGACCTTGGCCGGTTACCTCAGGGCTTGTCAGGGCCGTGCTGGCTCCATTATTGGCAGGTTGGCTCATAATCACACCCATCTTCCCTGATCCGCCTGCCAATTCCATGTGTGCTCATCACATCACTCGATTGTGCCCCTGATGCTGCCATAGCTGATGTTACACCCTGGCCTTGTGGCGTAGAAGGACTGAGACCTATTTGAAATAGCTGCACAACAAACAAACAAAAACACAAACCCCACAGAACTCGGGGAGAAGGCACGGCAGGTAAAGGTACTTGCTGCCTGCCAGGCCTGATGACCTAGGACTGACTGAAGAGCCCACACGGTTAAAGGAGACAACAGACTCTTGGAAGCTGTCCTCTGACCTCAACAAAGGCACAACGACACAGCCACACACGAAATTATACAAGTGTAGTTTAAAGAAGAGAAGGGGGGGCTGCTTTTGTCAGGCTCCATGCTTCGTCCTAACTGTGCCATCCAAAGTCTTCCTCCACACACCAATATTCCAGTCTTCCGTCGTTCCTCTGTGCCCTAAACACTAATGTCTTCAATGCTTCTTGATCTCTCTAGACAGGGTCTTTCCATGTAGACCTGCTGTCCTGAGCTCACTATGAAGACCAGGCTAGCCTTGAGCTCACAGATCTGCCTCGAGTTCTGGGATTAAAGTCACGCACCGGGCTGGAGAGATGGCTCAGAGGTTAAGAACAATGGTTCTGAGTTCGATTCCCAGCAACCACATGGTGGCTCACAACCATCTATAATGAGATCTGGTGTCTGTTTCTCACATAAAGTTGTGTATGCAGATAGAACACTCATATATATAAAATAAATAAATCTTTGAAAAAAAAAAGTCACGCACCACCATCACCTGGCAAATCTCCCATTCTTGCTAGTTAGTCCCCGTCCAGCCTCTTTTCTTCCTCCTCTGTCTTCCCATTGTAGCCAAGGCTTCAGGGGGAAAATAACAGAACTTGAATGGTGAGAGTTAAGAGTAAATGGAGGCCAAGGATGTAAATCTTCCATATACGTGTGCACACAAACACTGGGAACCACAAAAGAGAAAAGACAATGTCACAAGTGCCTATCTTGGGACCTAGGCCCATTTGTTAGTCTTTCCCTGGAAGGCAAGTGCCACACAATTGGAATTGACTGAGCATTGGGACAAGCTATTGATCTAGACCAAAGTCACCGTGGAGTGGGTGTGTGTGGGGGGGAGATGTCAGGGTTAACAAGAGCAAGGACACATGGAACTTGCCTGGGGACTGATAGAAAGTGTCCTCCCACCCTCACTCCACTTCCGTACACGTCCCCTACCCTCCATGCAGCTATAACTCGGGGTCCTTTCTGCCGCAGTGACCGAAACAGCCACCTGCCAAATAAATGGTGCTTTATAGACCCAATTCTCTCTGAAAGGAAAGAAACTAAGAGGAGGACCAGGCTGAACCCCTGTGAAGGAAGAGCCTTGGAGAAGCCAGCCCAGGGACTCTGATGACAAAAGACTGCAGAAAAAAAGGGAGTCCTGGGGGCTACAAGCCACTTCCTGGCAGAAGCCGTTCCCTCCTGATTTTGGTCTAAGCCTTAGTTTCAATGTAGCCATGCAGGAGACGCTGTCTGGAGCCCAGACTGGAGCCTGTGAGTGAAACGGCTTTTCTGTTCTGGACATCCAATGATAACTTGAAGGCGGTTGCCTGAAGGACGTGAGGAGGAGACAAAGCCCGAGATGTGGAAAAGGAGCAGCCCAGCTTTTCAGAAGTTCCTGTGACTACTGCTTACAGCCCTAGGAGCCGCGAAGTTGGTGTCCACATCTGGGAAGGTTAGAAGTCTGCTTGGAACGGGAAAGCAGAGTATATACAAACCCCTAACCCTGCCCCCCCAGAAGGCCTTGGGCAGCTCAGATGGCACTGAAGGGCAGGTGGCAAAGCCGTTGGGGAGCTGTTGACACTGGTGATCCTCTGGAAGCTGGTGCTGTCACACAACAGGGTGAAGCCCCACGTGGGAGCTTTGGGAAATAAATGGTAAGTGCCCGGATGTGGAGCCCTGCCCAGTGTTCTTGCTTTAGGCAAACATGGTCCAGCAGACCCTGGACACAGTGGAGGGAGGGTTGTGGCAGGAATGGCATGAAGGACAGATGAGCAAGAACATGTTTTGGGAGGGGAAGAGCAAGGGTCAGTGCCCTTGGAGAAGATGGGTTTCCATCTGTACATGACTAGGCTCTGAATTGTCTTCCCTGACCAAAGCTCGCCTGCCTGCTTCTGTGTGATATGTTTGATATTGGGTTGTTAAATTGGGAACCAACTAAATGTCAAACATATTCTCACAGCAGTGAGGAGACTTGGCATCACCCCTCTGCCACGTCAGTCCCTGGGCCTCTGAGAATCTACCTATCTTCTTTTTCTGTTTGTTTGGTTTTTGTTTGTTTGTTTGTTTTTGGTTTGTTTGTTTGTTGTTTGTTTTTGAGACAAAGTCTCTCTATGTAGCCCTGGTAGCCCTGGAACTCACTCTGTAGACCAGGCTAACCTTGAACTCACAGAGATCCTCCTGCCTCTGCCTCCTTGTATTAAAGGTGTGTGTCACCATGTGCCTACTGTCTTTTGTTTCTTGGGTTGCTTTGTTTTGTTTCTTGAAATGCTGGCAATTGAACCCAAGGGACTCACAGATGCTAGGCAAGAGCTCTACCACTAAGCTATAGCCACAGCTTGTCTGTGGTTTGTTTTACTGAATTTCTCTCCACAACTTCCCTGAAAGAGAAGTATCTGGAGCCCATGTTAACCTGGAAGGCTCACATAGAAGTGGGAGAAAGCTGAGGGCTGGAGAGATGGCTCAGAGGTTAAAAGCACTGACTGCCCATCCAGAGGTCCTGAGTTCAATTCCCAGCAACCACATGGTGGCTCACAACCATCTGTAATGAGATCTGGTGCCCTCTTCTGGTGTGCAGACAAAATGGAAGCAAGATATTGTGTTCATAATAAATAAATCTTAAAAAAAAAAGAAGTGGGAGAAAGCTGAAATTTAGGGATCAACTCTATAGAGACAGAGACAAAGATAGAGATATATTTGCCTCTTATAGTAGAGAGGATATAGCTTTTTTTTTTTTTGGTCCTGTATTGCCCTCTTCCCTATTTGCCCATTTTCTTTCCCTGGTTCTCTTTTGATCCAGATCCCCCTTTCCTTGGCCGGCCTCTGAAGTAGGGGTACTTGGTTTCCTTGCTTTCTTCCAGTGGTTAGTAGACGGTCTATCTAGCAGTCTGCTTCTAATGTGGAGGCTCTCATGAGTTAGTTAGCTCTGCCCTGCCCCCACCCTGACTCAGTTACCACATTGCTGTGGTTTAGCCTTGACACTATCCTTGACATTATGAACTAATTAGAATCATTTCTATTTTCCCCGCTACCCTTGGTCACCTTGAACAGTGTCCACTTCTCTGGCATACTTGGGTACATGGCAACTGTGTATGGGATCAATTGCCACCTGTCGATAGCAAGATTCCAAGTGGAATTATGGACATGGCAGGCACCCTGGGGAAAATAGAGCTGGGGGTGAAGACTATAACGGCATGGTGGACCGTAGGCTGGGCAGGGATTTGCAAAGGGAGCAGTTGAAGAGAAGCTGTAGACAGCGACACAGACTTTGGGACATGTGGGTGTGAAAGTTCTATTTTAAGAACATTATGAGAAAACAGAAGTCATGATTTTGTACTGTGACCCTCCTTATTTTTCATCCCACTCGAAGCCCTAAGATAGCCTTTCAGATCATAACCCTCCTACTCTACCCTATGGTCCTTACAGAATGATGTCTCCCTGCCAATTAGAGAATCCCAAAATAGCACAGCAATTCCAACTGGCAATCTGGGGGAATTGTCAAGGATCATGAGTGACCTCCCCTCTTCACTGTTGCTCATGCTCCTTAAACACCAGGAATCAGAAGAAAAAACTCAAGCGGTAGAGTTTGGTCCATATCCAATACAGTCTAGGAAAATGAGCGAGCTGAAGGCAACTAGGACCCTCTGGGGGCTAGAACTGCCAAAGAACCCTCCTCTATTTCAGTGCTCTCCCTCCTCCGCCCCTCCACTGCTGAAAGACCCACAGAGCTGCCAAGAATGAGTGCAAGGTTTCAAGGTCAGCCTCCCACCACCCCCACTTTCCATTGTCTAAAATCAGCCTCAGCTGTCCCTCAATATTTTTTTCTTGCTGGTGATGTCAGGCTATCAATGCGTGTGACCCTGTGTTCCCCCAGGAGAACAATGATGGGTTGGGAGGGAGCTTGGAAGTCCATGTTAGGAATAAGAGGTGGAGCCGTGACCACAGATAAAGGTTCAAACTCGGGGAACTTCTAGTCACTCAGGTGGCAGCCCTTCCTTGGCCTAGCTCTCCAGTGTTCACAGGTGAGCCCACCAACAGTCACAGCTCATGATGGAAGCCATCAAGAAAAAGATGCAGATGCTGAAGTTAGACAAGGAAAATGTTCTGGACCGGGCTGAGCAAGCTGAAGCTGAGCAGAAGCAGGCAGAAGAAAGAAGCAAACAGGTAGGTGCTGGCCTTGGCCTTGCTGGTTACAAAATAGAGATGGGCCTTTAATCCCAGCACTCAGGAGGCAGAGGCCAGCCTGGTCTACACAGCAAGTTCCAGGACAGCTAGAGAGACACAGAGAAACACTGCCTTGAAAAAAAAAGAGAGAGAAAGACAGAGAGACAGAGATGGAAAATGGTTTTCATGGGAAAATGGAGAAGCAGAGAACATTTAGAGAGTGGTTCTCAACCTGTGGGCCATGGCCCTGTTGGGTTTCATAGGGGTTGCCTAAGACCATCAAAAAACACATTATCACTCATAATAGTAGCAGCAAATTTATAGTTATGAGGTAGCAACAAAATAATTTTATGTTTGGGGGTCACCGTGATATTAGGAAGGTTGAGAACCACTGCTCTAGGGAATCCACCTTAGACTGTTCTTATGACCTTGAGAAAGCTGGTGGCTTCTGTGCCAGTGTACCTGCTGGACTTTAGAAGCAGACCATATTTTAGAAGAATGTTTCACTTCTAGAGCAAAAGGTAAGAGCATGCTCCAATTGTTTTCTCTCTTCAATGTTTACCATCCAATAGTCTTGGTCATTTTAGGGCCAGAAATGATAGAGTTTGATGTCAAGCCATAGCATAGCACTTGGAACGGCGGCAGGAGAAAGTGTGTCTCTCTGGGTGAGGTGGTGGTAACGTGGAGGCTGAGCTCAGAGGTCTTTAGAGTACAAGCATGCATGTTGTGTTTATGTCTCTGGTTACTCTTCGGGCTCCTACAGTTAGAGGATGAATTAGCGACCATGCAGAAGAAGCTGAAAGGAACAGAAGATGAGCTGGACAAGTATTCTGAAGCTTTAAAGGATGCCCAAGAGAAGCTGGAGCTAGCGGAGAAGAAGGCAGCTGATGTAAGTATTAGGGAGATGGCTTCCTTGTGGCTTCACAGGCAGTGGGTACATAGGGAACATAATGCTTTCGCTTGTAGCATGCTATTGGAATAGTCTCTTTTACTCAAAGACACGCTGAAGCTGAGAGCACAGTTTAATGGTAGTGTTGCTTTCCTAATGTGCATGGATCCCTGGGTTCTATGCCAAGCACTGGAAAAAAAGAGACATATAGAAGTCTCATTTCCATCCTATTCAACCTCCTTCCCAGTAATGACCTTTTCTAGGACCTGGACAAAGGGAAGAGTTTCCAAGTCCAGATGCATGCTATCAGGTGTCCACCCCCTCCCCCATGCCACATTCTTAGCTTTTGTGTACAAGGTTTGGCATGTGCATGTGTGTATTAATAGGGAACCTCTCATCTCTCAATTACCCAACAAAGCCGGCTTAGATTTCACAATAGGAAATGGAGGTCACATTGACCCTGACCCTATATGGGTATATTTGTCCAGGTCAAGGTGGGCATCTGCCCTGCCACAAAGATGTTACAGGGAACCCTGATCATAGGAGAGCAATGAGCTATCAAGGATGGACTATAATAGAAACTTGGAAGCAGGCAAAGGTATTGCCCCAGACCTTACCCAATGGTTCTGAATAAATTACACAGCTCTTCAGGGCCTTTCTCTCTTAAAATTAAAATTAATTACCTTTTCTCACTGCTTATTACAATTCAGTACCTGCTTTCCTTCATCATCAACCTCAATGCTTTTTGCGAAGAGAAATGAGACTATATAGGACATCTGTTTTGAAAAAAAGTATCAGAGACTTGTTTACATTTATAATTTTTTATTTGCAGTGCTGGGGATTAAATCCAGTCCCCTCTGGAATGACCTAGCTCACAGGGATCTTAACAGTAGCAAAAAGATATGTCAGTTACACAGGCATTTCTCAGCATTGGGGTGAGGAGAAAAACAGAAGCCGATGTTATCAAGTCACATTTGGTTTTGGAGATCAGTTAAAGGACAGAGTGGATGACTTGCACATGCGTTTAGATTCTCACATTCAGTCTCTGCCATGGGGCAAGTGCTCTTCTCTTTGGTTCTTCACTTTCAAAGGCTCAGACATAATGAGTGTTATGACACCGGAGAGTGGTGATATAAACAGGGGGACATGCTCTGTACACAGTCACAGTTTATAAAGTCTTGCCCATTACACACTGCTGTCTCTGTGTTTGGAAAACTGAAAAAAAAAACAACACTATGTTGTCTCCAGGACTGAGCAGGTACTTGTAGGCCAGCTTGAATTGCTTAGCCCGGTTTACAGGCACAGATGGAGAGACCTCTCTGGTCCTAAATGGAAGCAGGAGCACAGGTGTTTTCACAAACTAGCATTATGTTAGGTGAGTAGCGGTTTTGTGAGATGTTAAGTAATACCTCCCTGGAAAGGTCCTTAGCCAGAAAGAGCTAAGAACCAGGACAAGAACTCGGTGTTATACAAACCTTGGGAAAAGGAGAGGGAAGGAGTCCCAGAAAGTATGCCTATATATTCAGAAGGATAACAGAATTCCCTAGGGGTGAATTTTGCCAATTTTAGGATGTTTTATACACAGGAGTACAGCACACACACGAAAACATACATATTCTATACAAACACTGTCTTACCACTGTATTTGTTTGAAATTTACGTATTTACATAGAAATTCCCAAAATTTTTGTTTGTTGAGACAGGGTTTTTCTGTGTAGTTCTGGAACTCACTCTGTAGACCACACTGCCCTCAAACTCAGAGATCTGCCTGCCTCTTGAGCATTGGAATAAAAGCATTGGAATAAAAGATCTGCCTGACTGAAAAAAAAATTAAATATGAAAAATGTCTTAAAATTTAAATCCTCAACTTAACCCTGGCCCCTTTGTTACCTTTTTCACATGGTCAGTGAGCACCCCTCACAAATGCGTACTAAAACAAGAGACTAGCTGGGCATGGTGACACACGCCCTTAATCCCAGTACTCAGAAGACAGAGGCAGCTGGGGTCTGAGTCTGAGGCCAGCCTGGTCCACAGGGTAAGTTCTGGGACAGCCAGGACTGTAGAGAGAAACTCTATTTCAAACAAAACAGGAAGGGGAGGGGGTTTGCTGAGACAGAAGCAAGAAGAAAGGTATCTTTTCCCAAAGCGCTATCTGTGGGTTAAGCCTGGTTTTGTAAGCTAAGTTTTTTGTTGTTGTTGTTGTTTTGTTGTTCTTGTTGTTTTGTTTTGTTTTTTGTTTTTTTCGAGACAGGGTTTCTCTGTGGCTTTGGAAGCTGCCCCGGAACTAGCTCTTGAAGACCAGGCTGGTCTCGAACTCACAGAGATCTGCCTGCCTCTGCCTCCCGAGTGCTGGGATTAGAGGTATGTGCCACCAATGCCCGTCACCCTTGGTAAGCAAAGTTTTATTAGAACACACGCATGCTCTTTCGTTTACATATTATCTAGTAGTTTCCTCTCTTCAATAGAGTCCATATGACCTATAAAGCCAGGCATTCTATCTGGCCCTTTACTGAAAACCTGCTGACCCTTCAAGTACAGGAAAGAAAACAGGGTGTCTACAGGAAATGGGAAGAGTGCTGAACAAGGAAGGACACTGAGACTTAACTAGAGAGCAAGATCATGATGTGTGCCCTCTGTGGTGTGGGGAGGGTGCTTGGTTTAACACAGAAAGGGCTCACAGCTCAGCTTTGACCTTGAGATTCGTAAGTAAGTAGCAGCATATTATCTTGATGTAACTGTTTTGAGAGGGAGGGAGGAGAGAGAAAACCAACAACTACATGTTTACAGCCGTAGTTTTGGTTATCTGAGAAGCCTTTCTGAATGTGTAGGATTTCTAGGGCTGCTTGAACAAAGAAAGGGCACGGCTGTGGCAAGGTCAGCCCAATCTTGTGGTTTTTTTTCTTTCCAGAGTTTAGCTACTATTATAGTTTAAAATTGTAGCGAAATACACATACACAATACCAGGCAGTGGTGGGGCTCGCCTTTAGTCCCAGCACTTGGGAGGCAGATGCAGGCGGATCTCTGAGTTTGAGGCCAGCCTGGTCTACAAGAGCTAGTTCCAGGACAGCCAGGGCTACACAGAGAAACCTGTATCAAAAAACTCGTGTGTGTGTGTGTGTGTGTGTGTGTGTGTGTGTGTGTGTGTGTGTGTGTGTGTGTGTGTGTGTGTGTGTGTGTGTGTGTGTGTGTGTGGTGTGTGTGGTGTGTGTGTGTGTGTGTGGTGTGTGTGTGGTGTGTGTGTGTGTATGGTGTGTGTGTGGTGTGTGTGTGTGTGTGTGGTGTGTGTGTGTGGTGTGTGTGTGTGGTGTGTGTGTGTGGTGTGTGTGTGTATGGTGTGTGTGTGGTGTGTGTGTGTGTGGTGTGTGTGTGGTGTGTGTGTGTGTGGTGTGTGTGTGGTGTGTGTGTGTGTATGGTGTGTGTGTGTGTGTGTGGTGTGTGTGTGTTCATGCTTGTACAGCACAGCACATCATCTTTCCGACCCATGAGATCCTCTTAATCCAAGACGAAATCAGAAGCTGTTTAGGGAAAAACAAAAAAGAAGAATGCAATGGATAGCACTTAGGACACCAGAGTAACACCCTTTTTTTAGGAACGTGTTGGGAAGGATGAGAAGAGAACAGGGATGGACAGAGACACCTGTTGGTACGTTGTATTGTTTGTCACCAGGAAAACAATAGCACTGGTTGGTCTCCTTGCTTCCCATCCGTCATGTCTCTCAAAGCTATTGGGAGTCTGTTTGCTCATCTGCTTCCCTGGATCAAGAGATTATCTATACAAAGGCACCAGCCTCAGAAATGCAATGCAGTACTGGCTCAAGTTTGGTCGGCCTAGGAGGAGGTCTAAAGGTACCGGGAGGTATAACAGTGCCACCTGCTGGTCAGCACTCAGGTGACAAAATTTTCACCAGCTCTCCTGTGAAGAGACTTATTCAAAGCAAGCTTGAGAAACACTTAGGCGATCAAGGCAGTTTTTTCTGAGTGTCAGAACCTTGTTTTTCTGACTTAGTTTTTGGGGAGGTGGGTAGGAATCAACGTGTACAGGAGAAATGAGAAAATTACTGTTCCTCCAATTTGTTTCTTTTGAGTAGTTTCACTGTTGAGCAGTCTCCCCCTCAAAAAAAGGGAGCCTCCTGAGAACCAGGACCAGATATGGACAGCAGTAAGTGTCTTGCTGAATCCAGAGCCTCCACAGAACTAAATCCCCAATCCAATTAATATTTTTAGCTCTAAGTCCTGATCCATATCCCATTTCTTTTCTTTTTTCTTTTTTTCTTTTTTTTGGTTTTTCAAGATAGAGTTTCTCTGTATTATTTTGGAGGCTGTCCTGGAATTCGATCTGTAGACCAGGCTGGCCTGGAACTCACAGAGATCTGCCTGCCTCTGCCTCCCAAGTGCTGGGATTAAAGGCGTTCGCCACCAATGCCGGGCTATCCTATTTATTAAGGGAAGAAAAGAGTAGTATCACAGGAGGAATTTATCATTATTTCTTTCTAAGAAGGAGGCAGAAACACAGAGAAATAAGATAGGGTGTGATCGTTTGCACCTGAAATTTTAGTATTTAGGAAGCTGACTAAAGAAGCAACCGGAGCTCAAGACCAATCAGGGCTACCAAAGTGAGTTGAAGTCAACCAGGGCTACCTGAGACACCATCTCAATGAATCCAAGGCCAGGCAGTGGTGGCACCCTACTTTAATCCCAGCACTCTGCAGGCAGAGGCAGGTGGATCTCTGTGAGTTCGAGGCCAGCCTGGTCCACAGAGAGAGTTCCAGGACAGACTCCAAGCTACAGAGAAACCCTGTCTTGAAAAAAAAAAAAAAGCCAAAACGAAAACAAAGCAAGCATGAAAGCGAGCAAGCAAATAGCAAATAGAAAACAGGACAAACCTCTTTACTATTGGGCTCCCAGAAATCCTGTACGTAGGGCCTGTAGAAGGAGTTTTTACTTCATATAATAGTTCCTTGGAGTAAGTGAAAGAAGTGACAGTAAAACGGATGAAAGTAATTACCACTTAGAGGTTAAATTCCACAACAGTTTTCCAGATATTTATATCTTGCGGTTGTACCAGGGATATGATAATAAGGAACCATAAATAAGGAATTCTTCCTGATAGAGTAGAGACGCACGTATCTTGTCTACAAAAGGGGTTGTACATGAAAATTAAATTGCCAAGTCCTAAATCATTCCAAGAGCCACAGGGACTGGCAGGTTAACGTGCATACTGACTGACTGGTATTCTGAACAGAATAGTTAAATTCACACCTGACGTTAGAGAATGCCCACTTGCCTGTCTCTTTCACCCCCTTTATTGACTTCCAGGAGAGGGGAGAGAATCTATCTGAGCAATTTTGGGTTTTGTTTTGAGACATGGTTTTACATAGCTCACCAGAATAGCTTGAATTCTCCGTGTAGCCAAGAATGACCTTGAATTCCTTATCTGTCTCCACCCTCCAAGTACTGAGATTACAGATACTTGCCACTATGCCAGTTTCCACGCTTCCGGAGATCGAGTCCAGAGCTTCGAGCATGCTAGACTAATGCTCTAAAAACCGAGCAATATCCACAACCCCCTCTGAATAGATTTTCAAGGAGGCTTACTGGGATTCTTTGCAGGACGATGTCTAGAGTCTTTTAGACTTTTCTCTGAACCTGGTTTTGGAGTCTGTCGTGGGATATTTTATACTGCTGAGTGGAGAGGACACAGAGGCACAGGGTAAGAGAGGGGTCAACAGTGTTAAGACAGCACCGTACTTGTAAATGGGCCAACCATTGTTGGGAGGCAGCCTGGTGGGTGAGGCTAGACCACGAAGCGCCTTTCAGTTACTATGGTAGCTAACCCAACCCCGCCCCCCTTTACTGGTCTCAGGAAAGACCGCCCAGAGCGGTCACCTAGGGCGACTGCGAGGCTCCACCTCTCACTTTCTGCCCGCCGCCCCTCGAGTGGACTGCGTTCCCGCCTGCTTGGCAGGGGAGGTGGGGAACGCGCGGAGGTAGCGGCGTCACATCCGGGCGGGTGGGTGAGTTCCGGTATTTCAGGGCGGAGCAGGCGGAAGTAGGGTGAGAAGCGGCTACTACGCCGAGCGGAGGAGGTAGGACCCGAATTCCAGGAGCAGCTGGGTGGGCACCATGGCCGGGATCACCACCATCGAGGCGGTGAAGCGCAAGATCCAGGTTCTGCAGCAGCAGGCGGATGATGCCGAGGAGAGGGCCGAGCGCCTCCAGCGGGAAGTGGAGGGAGAAAGGCGGGCCCGGGAGCAGGTACGCGCGGAGGGCGAGGCGCAGCAGGGAAGCGGGGGACCGGCGCCTCTGCTGGGGAGCTCAGCTCCACGGCGTCCTGGAGGCCCGGACCAGACGCGGGGCCCCGGGGTTGGGGGGGACTCGATTGCGATGGTCTGGAAAGCGAACACGGAGGAAAGTAGGTGCTCGCGCGAGCAGCCTGCACCCTGGAAAGAATCGAGCCCCGCGCTGCACGGGCTCTCCTCTCCCTTCTTTTTTCCCCCCGGCTCATTCATTCGGTCCCTCGGAGCCGGGCGCGGCCAGGGGAGGGGCTCAGCGGCCTCTCCCTCCCCCCACTTCTCCGTGAAGGGTGGGGACCCTTTGCTCTCGCTTGAGGTTTCCGGCCAGAGAGGTAGAAGTAAGTGTGTGCTCCTCTGGCCCGGGAGGGGCCGAGCCTAACCTGCGAAAGATGCGGGTGGGAGGTGGGGACCGCCGGAAAGCCCCCGACTTGGCCTGCTGGCAGCTTTTCCGCTCCCTCCTCCTGCTCAGGAAATGAGCCAGCAGTTGGCTGAGAGGAAGCGCGGTTCCCTCCCTCACTGGCGGAGCTTAAGGCCACAGCACCACCTCCCGTCCTCGAGCTTGGGGACCTTTTGTAACTAAATGGTACTCCCGGCCCTCAGTCGTTGTGAAGTGGGAGAGGAGATGATACTCCTCTTGGCCCTGCTCATGACCTGGAAGGCAGGAACTTCTGCCAGATTCAGGCCTGAAGTGCGAGCTGTGCAAATCTGATTTACGGAGACCATATCTCCTAAGCAGGGCTGATAAGGGGGTGCATAACAGTCAAATGCCAGGTCAATCCCAAGGTTGCTGATTGATCTGGACACTGTGGAGGATGGAAACAGATTAGTGAGTGGCGATGATTTGGGGGAGGGGCTGCTTTCTCACTTACCGGTACTATGGTTTTTGTTCGACTGTTGTTGGGGTGAATGGATTCGTGTGAAAGACCTAGTGAAGATAAGTCTTGTGGCTTGCTGGTGTCTTCCCCTTGGCTGCTCATTTGGGGAGTAACTGAGACTATGTCTGAGGGCTAAAGGGTGAGCGTGGAAAAGCAGAGCATAGCTCCTTGATGTTTAAACATTATCAAGATGCTTTTATTGCAGGGCACAGAAATGCCAGCGCTTGTCTTCACAGTCACTCTTTCCTATGCATTCAGTATGATTGTTTTGAGACTGGGTGTCCCTTTGTTTTCCCGGAAGACCTGCTTAAACCTCCCAAGTGCTGGAATTACAGGCTTGCTTGGCCACTCCTGACATGCCTGCAACTTCTCCTTATCAATTCTAGTGAGGTCATTCTAGAGATGAGATAGTCTTAAAAGGGGAAAATGGCCAGTACAGCAGAAGGAATTGGCCCATTATTTAAGTATGGATACCCTGGGTGTGGTTTTAGGGTAGGTAGGGTGTGTCTGTCTGTCCCTGAATTTGATGATTTTCCTTGTAGGAAAATTTGGCTCCTCTTCCTTGTGCGTGACGACGCTGGGGTGATAAGCCCCAGAGAGTGTTTTCACGTGTTCAGAGCTTACCACATGTGCATATTTCACGGAAGTCTCCTGAGGAAGTTCTCAGAATGGGGAAGTAGGGTGGTTGTTAAATATTGATGAGACTGGTATCTTCTTTGAGCTTTTGACTTTCTGCACCTGTGACCTTTAGCCCCTACTGAGGACTCAGGGGGAAGAGGGGTGCTTGGCTTGCCTGCTCTCTATTGCCACTGTGGAATGTGGCTTTTGCAGGCTCCACCTGTCAGCGCTACCTGGTGGGAACCTGTGCTGTTGTATTAGTAAGTGGTCAGGTCATTTTCTGGTTACTGCGTATGGGCACCTAACCTGCCCTTATTAAATGGATGAGGGCAGAGCTGAGAGGTACGTTCTGAGGGCAGTCAGTCCTTCCTGTTCTTGACCTGGAAACAGACTTAATAGTTTAGCTCCCTGCTAAATCTTACTTTCAGTTTTGCATTCCCTTTGTTTAGTAAGAGGGTTTTAATGTTTGATTTTCTTAGGCGCTAGGAGCAGACCTAGGGCTACCCAGGTCTCTGCCACCCTTGATTCTGTCCTGTCCAAAACAGGTGACAACATAAAACTTAAAATGCACATATAACAAGGTTTTACCTGTCCAGGCTGCCCTTGAGTTGTTGGATCCAAGTGACCCTTCTTCAGTGTCTGTGATAGTCTCTGGTGTTCACTGCCTGCCAGGATCCCCATTGTAACCTTTCTTTTTCTTTTTTCTTTCTTTCTTTTTTTTTTCCAAGACAGGGTTTCTCTGGCTTTGGAGGCTGTCCTGGAACTAGCTCTTGTAGACCTGGCTGGTCTCGAACTCACAAGAGATCTGCCTGCCTCTGTCTCTCGAGTGCTGGGATTAAAGGCCTGTGCCACTACCGCCCAGCATAACCTTTCTTTTTTGTTGTTATTTTTATTCATGTGAACATACGTGTATCTGACCCCTGGAGGTGGAATTGCAGTCAGTTGTGAACTTACTCCCTCACCCGCACCATGTATGTTCCGGAGAACAAAGAGCAGCGGGCGCTCTCCTGAGCCATCTCTCTAGCCCCTTTAAAACCATTTTTCAATGTATGGTTCGTCTTACCCTTTAAAAAGCGTTTCTCTTCTGAGTTTCATGTAGTATTTTTCATTTTGTTCTGGTCCAAAACATTGGAAGTACTGTTGAAGGAGAGTGGGCTTTGAACAGTGGTTCTGGCCGGAAGCCCAGATTCTTGGTCTCTGAAGGGGGTGAGGGCGTTTGGCAGTATGTCCGGTGTGTTTGGTGGACACATAGCAAGCATTATGACCTCTCTGGCTTAGGTTCGGATTGCTTTGGCTGCTGCTTGCCTTTCTCTGCCCTCATTTCAGAGCCACACTCCTACAGGAGAGGCAAACAGCCCTTTGCTCTAAGTGCCTCTGCCTAAACTCCACCTTTGTTGACTCTGGGGCGGCAGATAACTCCCAGCTTTCCCCCTTGGTGAAATTGAAGTTTCCGGAGAATGGTGTAGAGCTCCCAGCCAGCGTGTGGACACAGTGGTCCAGCAGTCCTTTTTCAGCTGAGGCCTGACTTCCAGTGCTGTCTCTACTCTGAGTTACACCTGTGACTTATCTAAAAAGAGAAACCCCAGTGTGGCAGAGTGCCAGATTTAGATTTATCCCTCCTGTCCTTGGCCCTGCTCTGCCTCTGCCTACCAGCTCCCCGTCAGCTTCTTACTTTAAGGGATGTAGTGTGCTTTTGGCTCTTTTAACATTTTTTTAAAAACCTATGTTACTATTATCGTGTATGCATATAATATGTGTGTGTGCCAGCATATATTTCGTAATTTGTGTGGAGCTCAGAGGACACCTTTGTGGAGTCTTTTACCTCACTGAGCCCTATGTAGCTACACTGAGCTTACATCATAGCCAATGCTGTCAGCCACCTTTTCTTTCTTTCTTTCTTTTTTTTTTTAGTTTTTTTTCAAGACAGGGTTTTCTGTCAAAACTCACTTTGTAGGCCAGGCTGGTCTCGAACTCACTGAGATCTGCCTTCCCAGTGCTGGGATTAAAGACATGCCCAACCACCAGCCAGCCATCTTTTAATATGACCAAATGGCTGTACTTTCCAACACCAGGATTTTGTTTCCTGAACAATGGAGAATCCTTTACTGTTGAAAGGAAGACTCACACTGTATCCTCCGAGTTGCAGGGAGATAGGCAGGCTCTGCTGGGCATTTCAGGTAAAAGTTAGGATTAATTGAAAAAAGCATAAAGTGCAGTGTTTCTCAGGATCAGACTGGTCTATAACCCAAGGGCTTGATGCTGACCTGAGTGGTTTGTGTCAGCTCTGACCTAAAGGAAAAGTCAAGCTGTCTTCCTTGTTCCTGTAACTGGGGTATCAGATCCTGGTTTTGGAGGCTTTTGTTTCCTTATAAAGAGAACTAATCTGCTGTCCTGGGCCTGCCACCCTCTGGTCTGTCTGAAGCTTTTGCAGGGAGTCACTAGTCTTTGGTTCTGGTTTTAACACAGGCTTGCTCTTAGGAGAACACTGAGATGCATTTTCTCTTCCTCCTTTTTCACTCTTGTGAAGAATTCAATTGTAAATGCTGTTTTGTGGGCAAAAGCACCAGAGCCAGCTTGTTACCATGGAAACTACCCCGCCCCCAAAGCCTGTTATCTTTTTCCAGTTCGAGTAACTGGGAGCTGGATGGAGGCTTACCTTTCATGTGCTTCCCACAAATCCAGCTGCATTTTTCTTTAATTTTTTTAGATTCATTTTATATGTATGAATGTTTTGCCCACATGTATGTATGTGTACCATGAGTGTGACTAGTGCTCAAGGGTGACTAGTGCTGAGCGTTAGCACCTCAGGCACTATAATTATAAATGGTGTGAACCACCATGTGGGCCCTGGTAATCAAACCAGAGTTCTCTGCCACATAAAGAAGTGCTCTTAACTGCTGAGCCACCTCTGCAGCCCTTCCAGCTGCATTTTTTTTAACACCTGAAAGGGGTATGTACTGTATGGTGTGTGTGTTTGATAGCCCCATCCTGATAGCCCGGCTTGCCTGTGACTGCTTGGCCTTGTTG